GAGTGTCCCACAAGAGTGTCCTACAAGAGTGTCCCACAAGAGTGTCCCACAAGAGTGTCCTACAAGAGTGTCCCGCAAGAGTGTCCCACAAGAGTGTGCCAGAAGACTGTCCTACAAGAGTGTCCCGGAAGAGTGTCTCACAAGAGTGTCCCTTAAGAGTGCCCTACAAGAGTTTCCTGCAAGAGTGTCCCACAAGAGTGTCCTACAAGAGTGTCCTACAAGAGTGTCCCACAAGAGTTTCCTACAAGAGTGTCACGCAAGAGTGTCCCACAAGAGTGTCCTACAAGAGTCTCCCACAAGAGTATCCCACAAGAGTGTCCCACAAGAGTGTCCTACAAGAGTGTTCCACAAGAGTGTCCTACAAGAGTGTCCCACGAGAGTGTCCTACAAGAGTGTCCCACAAGAGTGTCCTACAAGAGTGCCTTTCAGGAGTGTCCCACAAGAGTGTCCTGTAAGAGCGTTCCACAAGAGTGTCCTACAAGAAGAGTGACCCACAAGAGTATCCTACAAGAGTGTCCCACAAGAGTGTCCTACAAGAGTGTCATTTGGACATATCTAGCTTTTCGAACGTGTTTGCATTCGGGTTCGTGGGCTCCATCTTGTTTAAATGAGTGATTGGGGTTAAATCCATTGCTTATATTGGTGCCGGGATTGATGTTCCAAAGGCCGTTCCCTTCAAAATTAATATAGCTGTGGCTCATTAAAGGGTTAGGTTCTTTCAAATCAGAAGTTACAGCGTAACCATCCAACATTGAAACAATATCGGATGGATTGAGGTAGTCAAGTCTTTTGGGACTTTTGTTCCTTTCCTTTTTGTTTTTATTGTAGGGGTAGCATAGGTTGTTGTAGCAAATGTATTAGGTTGTTCTTGATTGATCTTATTACAGCACTTGCAAGGTTATGCCCAACCAAACGGGTTATTTCTCGTGACTTTTCCAATTCTTCTATAACATGTTTGTATTTCTCACTGTGATGAACATTTCTAGTAGGTACTAATAACAGATCATCCATAATATCCCTTGTTAAAGATCCATCACAACCACCTGTGCCACTTATGTATAAAGTCTTACTTGTTTTGTAAAAAGCACTTGGTGATGAATAGGCATTCCATAAGCCCCTGCGGTCTTCTATCTTCTCCTTGTTTGCTATATTTTTCTCTTCAGCATATAGTGTTCTATGTTGTTTAAAGTGATCATTTAAGTTTCTTGTGAAGTCATTCATTCTATCATTCCAATTTTGGTTCTTTTTTTTTCATAATCACTGTAGGTTTCTTGACCGATCTTACTGAATAATATCTGGGCGCTTCCAGGCAGATCCTTCCAGGCAATGTCAGACACATCAATCATTCTCAAGAAAACGCATGAAAAAGGTTGAAAAATGCTCATTTTCATCGAAAAACGCGCCGCTCACAGCGCTCCCCTCTCTTTGCAACATGATCCCAATAGAAGCTCGAACGTTCCCACAACTACTCAAGATCATTTGCAACATCTATGCGAAAATTGTGCCAAATAGAATCAGGCACAACTAGGGTCTCAAGCTGGGAACCTAGATCTTAGCGGCACATTCGCAAAATTTTCCTAGTGATTTCCCCGGGTAGCCGAAATTTTTGCGAATATCTGCGCAATCCGTCAGAGAGGCTACAGATCGTTACCTAATTATCAAGATTATACCTATTCAAATTGCCAGGCTACGATAATAAGGATAAGAATTGGAGATTCCTTTATGCTTTACCAAGAATAGGCACGGAAATATCAAATTTTCAATTTATCAATCTATAAAAATATTTCCGTCCCCAAATCCTATCGGAAGATTACCTTACATTTGTATTCTTTATTAATCCGCCAAAAATAAATATATACAAATAATAACATTCGATAAATCTTTCGTAAATAATTCGAATAATATCTAAAATATTTTTTGTTAATTCATTTTTTTCGAAATAATTAATCAATTCCTACATACAAAATCTAATAATATAAAATAGAATTCTATTTAACTATTTATTTAATTAATCTCCATCCAATATACATATATATTCAAGTTATTTTCAATATGAAATTGATGTATCAATATTTTAACATATTCAAATCGAATATATACATAATATAAATATTATCAATATATATAATATGTCTTTTCAATATTTAATTTTATTGTGAAGAATGTGGAATACAAACGTGAACCCACTCAAGTGATCGACCGCTCGAAGTGCCGTCACGGAAGTGAAAACGTGTATCGCATGTTTTGCGTGCCGACACGCAGCTCAAGAGGCCCCTATCGGACCGGGCTCGAGAGAGAAAGGGGCACCAACGACCTATGGTCAAAAGCTCATGCCCAATGCGCAGCGCGCATTTCACACCGGTGGTTGTCACCGATGGTCCAGCAAAGTCTGCCGACGGTCGATGTCGGTGAACTCGCGCCAACCTTCAGCTTCTTTCTGTGCGCAAAATGCGCAGTACTCCAGCGTTCTCATGGAGCTCTTGTCTGCATTGGTGAGGCCCTGGCACTCTGCATCCTCATGGTACTTGTTGCCAGTCCTCAGTCCTCGTGTGCCATATCACTTGGGCCAGGGGGTTGACCTGCAATCGATGTTGCATGTCCATCAGGGTCTGCACAGCGCGTTGCCACTTCATTCTCATGTCCTTGTACTTGCCGTCCAGCTCACCAATCTTGCCGCTGAGGAAGTCTCTCATGATCACCAGGTCGTCAACCTGTCTCTCCAATTCATCATTTTCATTTTCCAACTCTTCACACTTGTGCTTGAGCTCGACGTTGTAGGAATCGGAATCTCTGAGGTCTTGTCGAAGTCGGTCAACTTCAACTCTGAGGAGGCCGAACATGTTCTTCTCTTCGGAGGTCTCGGCCTGCGTTCCAAAGTCCCTTGTTGAAGAGCTCGAAGTTGTCATAGTCCGTGTCTCCGTGTAGGTTCTGGTGGTCGTTGAGGTCGTTGTAGACCATCTCCTGCCCAGGTTCCATCCCACATAGGTCATCAGGATGATGAACAGCGTAAGGGTCATCTCGGGCGAGAAGACAAAGTCGAGGGCCACCTCAATCGACGGTTGGTAGGCTTGGACCATGGCCATCTGTGAGGTCAGGATCATATAGGCCAGGCTGTTGTGGTTGTTTGTCCTGCTGATCGCATGCCTGCGAACATTCGCCTGTCTCTCAGCTAAGGTCTTCTTCTTTGCCGCCTGAAAGGTTATGTCGGACCTGAGAGAGATATCTTGTGGCTTCGTAGTCGATCAGCGAATAGCTGTCGGGCCGAGGTTTTGGTAACCCCGTCAGCCAGTTGGATCTCCGAGCTGACCCAACGTAGTTTGGTGTTCATGCCCAACATCTTTTGCTTGGTCACCATGACCTCGATCTTTGTTCTTTTGTCTCCTTGGAGATTTGGAATTTCAGCCTTGAGGCTGTCATCCACCAGTGCCGAAGGCAGTGAAGGCTTGAGCTCGCTGACCTGGCGCAACTGGAAATCACTGTTCAGACATCCTTCCCAAATGATGAGAAGGTATTCCAGGACGTCCATCGCGGCTGAGCATGCTTGGCTCTCTGCATTCAATGAGGACCGACTGATCCTTGGAAGCTTGAAATTCCTCCAGTCCAGGATGGTGTAGTCGTGGTTGAGGGTGCTGTCCTCAAGCACTGACTTGTGATATAGGAGCACCAGATAGCCGCCTTGGCTTTCATTGTTGCGTCTCACCCCCCATGCAGCATCACTCATAGCCACCATACATAGGTCGTCCAGCGAGCCACCCATAGAGCGGAACACCAAGCCGGCGTCATTGTTGTTCTTTGCGAAACGTAGGGTCTTGTTCGCTTGTTGGGCCACATTGACCGTGGAAGTGGTGACTTCTCCATACAAGAGCGACACTGAGGCGCATAGGTGAGGTGAAGTTTGGGCTGCTGGCCATTGAAATGCACCAAGTAGTGCCCTTAAAGAACTCTGTTCTTTGGAATTCAACTCTCTGTCAGCCTCGTTGTCCACGCAGGTCATGGGCTTGATGGTCTTGAGGTAGTCAGCCTGCGTCATCACGGACTCAATGGCTGTGCGGGTGAATTGACATCCGCAGAACTCTAGTGGGCGTTCGCCTTCAACTGTCCAGTGCTTGAAGTTGAAGGAGGTTTTGAGCTGCTTGATCAACTCGTTGTAGGTAGTTGATGTAGTCAGGCCGCAAGCAAAGAGGTCATCCACATGGATTCCGACCATTGTTGTCAGGACCTTGTTCTCATCGAAGAACATGTAGAGGCATTGGTCCAGTGGATGTGCTTGGAATCCGAGTTGTAGCAATCGGCGTCGGGCGAAGGCAAATCATTGCCTTGGAGCGTCAACTTGACCGTACAGGGGCTTGATCAATCTCACGAGCGTGCCGGGTGGCACTCCAATCAGCTCACATGCATCTTTTGGGATGCGTGCCCATAGAACTCGCTCCTGTGGATCTCCCTGGAGGAATGCGAATGCCACGTCCGCAGTCCAACGTTCCCAGGAAAGCACCTCTGAAAGTGCGATGAGCACCTGTCGTGAACTCCTTGACAGAGTCGGTGAGGAGGTGTCAAGTTGTCCCTGAAGTAGGTCAGGATCTGCAAATCCTTGAAGCACCAACCGTGCCTTGGCCTTGAGGCCGCCCTTTCCATCAGCAGCCCATTTCAGCACGAAGCGGGCGCGCATGACCCGGTTGTAGTCCACTGCTTGTGGGTCGAGCTCAATCTCCCACACGTCATTCTCGAAGATGCTCATGAGCTCGGCTTTCTTCCCTTCGAAGAAGGAGAGGCGGTCTTCCACGGTCATCTTGCGCTCATTGAGATCAGCACTTTCTTTGACGTGCTTCTTCTTGGGATTGCCAGCTCCAACGGCCTGCCAGATATGTCCACGGTCACGGAGAGTCTTGCAGCGGGAGAGCTTGGTGAAACACAACGACTGGTGGAGCTATGAGGACGGCTTCCTTGTGCGCAATCATATTTGGGGAAGAAACACCACCTACAAGCCTGAAGAGTTCCCCATCGACGCCTCCTTTCTACAAACAACCACCGGCCTGACATTGCAACAAGGATCAAGAACCATCTATGTCAACGCCCAGGAGCAACAGTTGCACGAATACTGGACCGGCAAGACCTTGTACCCAGTGACCTTAGAGGGTGCAGAAAAGACCGGACTCCTCTATATCGGAGATGAACTCATTGCTCTTCTCATCATAGGTCCAGCCAGATGGGAGTGGCGTTGACGTGGTCAGGTCGAGGCCATGGAGGTCAATATCACCCTCATCAGTCCTGAGGTTTCTTGCGAATCCATATAGTCTCCTGCTGATCGAATCGTCGCCGACGATCTTGGAAATTTTCTGCTGGCGGTGGTGCATAAAGAGGATCAATTGCCATTGGTGCGGGCATTGATGATGAGGAAATTTCCGCCGCAAGCCTTGAAGGAACATCAACCTTTGGAGAATCCAGATCGTGGTCTTCAAGAACGGGTAGATCAGCTGGATCTGGAAGACTCGTAGGAGGCTCGGCATCCACACGTGGTGTCTCCATGTGTGCCGGTTCACCCATTGGCTCTTCAAATTCATTAACGTCTAGTTCTGGTGGTTCAGGGTGTCGTTCATGAGGTCGTCGCTCTTCCAGCTGTGGTTCCAATGGCTCTGTCGGAAAGTCTTCAGGAGGATTTGGAGCAGGTGGAGCAGATGGTCGTTCAGCTGCCCGTGACTGGATGGCTTCTTGTATGGAGCGATCAAAGGCTCGTTGCACACCATCAGGTAGTCCAGATGAAGACATAGTCACTGGAGCAGGTGGTTCTTCAACTATGGAAGCAACGTAGTCGGACAGTTCAAGGTCGACCTCATCAATCGAGCGCTTGTTGGCCTTGCGCAAGTCAATGATTCTGACAGCTCTTCTCTGTCTCAGGTTCTCCAGAGCTTGTTGAGCACGTTGAGCTGCACCAAGTTGTCCACTGTCGCTGACCATCTTCCGAACGTGTTGAACTCCAGCACGAAGGAGCACCGTTCCATGTGCAATCCAGTACACATAGATGGTCCCGGGGTTGCGCTCAACAGCAACAACAACTGCTGGTCCGTGCCAGCGGATTATGTGGGCCTTGTCCGGAAAGTCCCGCCAGTAGTAGCACCTCTCGCCAAGAAGGAGTTCTTCATCTTTTCCAGTGAAGCGTCGCAGCAAGGCCCTTCTCAACTTGACATCAATCTCGGCTTTACCACAGGCACTCTGTGCAGCGAACTTCATTTGGAATCGTTTGTGGAGTTTCTCCTGTTCAGTCAGCTGTAGCTGAAGAGGGCTTGTTCGCTCGTCTGAAAGACGTCTAGGAAGTGCAGGTTCTCGGCCAAGAGCAAGCTGAGTGGGTGTGTAGCCGTTGACAAAGGTGCTGCTGTTCAAGGCAGATACGACCCAGGACAGTGCCGTGTGCACTCCATCGAGTCCGGTGAGGTCATTCTCCATCATGAAGATTGAGACCGCTTTGCGCACAATTTGGTGTCTTCTCTCAACAATGGATGTTCGAGTGTGCGCCTGTCCGAGCTCGATGTCATTGTTCTCGCACCATTGCATGGTGGCATCTGATGCCCAACCAGTGCCCTCATCCACATAGAGTTATCGTGGTGGTCCATGATGTTGAATCCATGCACGTTCTAGGGCTTTCTGGAGTGTCGGTCCCTTCTCGTCCATGATGGTCCGAGCTGCGATGTATCTGGTTGCAACGTCAACCATGACCAGGATGGCGATCTTGCAGGCTTTCTGACGTTTGCCAGGCTCGCGAATTGCTCCAACTTCATCGAGATCGAGCCAAAGAACATCGGCTTGAAGCTGGGCATTGAACTTAGTTGGGCAATCAAGGTGTCCAGGTGCTGTTCCTTTCTTGACTGCATGTGCCTCACAAAAAGGACATTCAAGATCTTGGACCGCTGCCAGGACCTGTGGGCTGCAGTTCCTGCTCTTTAGAGTGTTGAATAGAACGTCTTTGCAAGGGTGTCCAAGATTTCGACGAAGGCGTTGTGCAATACGAGCTGCTTCTGCACCATGGGCGATGGCCAGCTTTCTGAGAGCACCAGTGAGAGGAGCGATGGCTTCGGTCACTGCATAGACCTGTTCATGAAGTTCTTTATCAAGAAGTAGTGTTCGGGCCAGATGTGAAGCCATTTCCTCTTGGTAGTTCTCAGCTCGTTTGCAGCGGTTGCGTCCTTCAAGGCGCTGATGAACGTGCTGTCCACTGCACCGCTTGGACATGATCTCGAACATAGCCCATTTCGTGGTCTGGATGCGGGTGGTCTTGAGGATGGGCATCTAATAGCCGTCATCGTCGGGGATGGTTGCACCGTAGGCACACTGATCGAAGATTGCCTTGTGGCCAGGCAAATTCCTCAATTGCTTGGTCTCCCAGGCTAAGCTGAGGCGTGGATGCTCGATGTGAGCGTGAGAGCCGCGGCGAACTTGCTTGAGGTAGAGCTTCTTACACATGGTGAGGTGGGTCTCAACATCGACCTCTTTGCGTTCTGCAAGGTCAGCCGCTTGCTCCTCATTGATGATGTTGATCTGTTGCATACGTGACCAGAGCGTACACTTAGGGGACATGTAGATCTCATCTGGCTCAAGGTCATCGCATAACCGCAACAGTTGTTTTCTGTGGTTTGCTCGGCTAAAGTCCCAGCCGTCACGGAGGCCGAATCTCATTACCTCCACATCACCATGGGCCTGTAGGAGACTCGTGATCTTGCCCTCGCCAACGTAGACCTCCCAGATCAGCTTTCTCCGTCGATGCTAACCTTGGTCGCGAGCATGGAGGATTTCCTGTTGGACGTGCTTCTCGGTTTCCTGGAGTTGAGCTTCGATCCATGACATGGTCTTTTGAAGCTGCTCGACGGTTTTGACTGTTTCTCCAGGCTGAAGCGGGGTTTGATCATCATGATCATCTGCTTCCATGAAGGTCTCCTCAGGAATGAGATTGGGCTCGGAGGCGAAGAAGGTCTTGACCTCGGTGGTCATCTCAAAGTAGCGTTCATAGGCGTTCAAGTCGTCCAGGAACTTGTTCGAATTGGTCTCTTTTGGATGATCATCCTCGCAGCGTCGAAGACAGGTGACTCGAAGGCTTGTGGGTCGTTTACATTCGCCGCCAAGCGAAGGAGCATTGCACCTTGTCGACAGCGAAGAATGTCCTGCCATTCTTGATGGAATCCTCGCATCTTCGAGGCGCCGAAATTGACTTCTGCTTGAAGTGCCTCTAGAAGTGGTCGTCCAAAGAGCATGGGAGTGGCACCATTTAAATGCGACCAGGACGACCAGCGATGCGAATTGGAAGTTCCACCATCCATCTCGCATGCCCGGAGGCGTCTCCTCCGAACTTGAAGGACTTGTCGCAGCGCTTGAAGAGCAGGTTGTTCATGGGGTAGCCAATCATCTCAAGCCATTTGAAGTAGCGCAGGGCATATTCAATGCCGATCAAGAAAGAGCTCGCTCCTTGATCTTGGATGCAGGTGTCCGGTTCGGCAGTCAGCCAGCCGCTAACTCTGACTAGAGCTTCGCCTTCAGCATAGGCGTCCTCCACGTCGTAGAAGATGTCCTCCTCAACCGTCGTCGAGGGAGTTGGGGTCAGGCTCAACAGACATAATCATGTTGATCATCGGGTCCTCGAGGTCGATCGGCCGCTTCTTTGCCGGCGAAGAGGATTTGCCAGCTGAAGGACAATTTGCTGCGAAGTGCCCTTGCTTTCCGCAGCGTAGGCATATCAGTGCTGCCTTAGCTCGATTCTTCCCAGTTGGGCCTTTTGAGAAGCCCTTGGATGAAGTGCCCTTGCCCTTGGACTTGTTCTTGGATTTTCCACCTTTGGAAGGTCCTTTGGGATTCTAGGTCATAATTGGAGCTTGGCCCTTGCCATCAACAACGGCCACAACAGAATAGAATCCTCTGCTTTATCTCAACTGGTTAAGCCGCTGTTTGGCGTCCACGTAGGTGGAATAGATCTCGTCGAACTCCTCGGTGTCGAAGAAGTGTTCAGGATCTTCAGCAATTTCTTCATAGTACGTTCCCTCTAGGATCTCGGGCTCAAACCATTCTTCGGTCTCCTGGTAGTCAGGGTCATCATCCGCGTCCTAGAGGTAGGACTCTTCAATCTCATACTGGTCGTCAATGGCGTCCTCGTCCCAAGTTATATGCACGGACTGAGGTCGCTTCCAGCGAGAGAGCTGCTGCTGTCGGCGGAGATAGTGCGGGATGTGAACCTGCTGATAGTCCTGGCCGAAGAGCAGGAAC